CTATGGTCAAAGTAACTTCTGGATGAAGTCTACAACTATCATTTTTGTCTGTGTCACATACTTGTACTTGTTACCTCTGATTCTACATGTATGTTACTATACATGTGTAGTACTTAGCAAGTTTCTGCTGTAACTCTGCAGTGACCAAAATGCATATTTTAACCTTACAGTAAATACTAGCAGGAGGGTTCACACACAGGTGATTACTAGCAGGAATTTCACCCTCAACACTGCTTTACATTACTCAATGTGTGTTTCCTAACTGCAGGTGACATGTGGGTATTGATTTGTGAGTTAAAAGCTCACACAGGAGGAGAGCCTGTAACACAGCAGAAGTCTGTTCACATCAGTGGCATCACACCGGATGGCTGTTCAGCACCAGGGACAGACTCTATTACTGAGGTGGTTTTCAACATAATTCCAGACATGGAGATACAATAGACCCATTCGACTTTCACGGATCGCATAAACTGCTTACGTCACAGGGGGGACATTTCGAAAGAACGCCGTTCTAGAACGCTGAAGTCGAACGCGTCTTGCGCTCGCGGTGTCCCCCCTGGCAGATCGTTTTTTTACTAAATGGTAGGTAAGTGTCTATTTTTTCGGTAAAATATGCGGAAATGACAGAAAAACAGGCACCAACGTTGTATGGTAGCATTCCGTACAACAATTTAAGGTTATTTTGTTCTGTGACGTATGCAGTTTATGCGATCCGTGAAAGGAACTTTCGAAATGTCCCCCCTGTGACGTAGTTTCTATTCAAAATGCCCCCCCTGTGACGTAAGCAGTTTATGCGATCCGTGAAAGTCGAATGGGTCTATTTACACACATTCCTGTTGGGCCACACGAAGTCAGCTTTTTGGTTCTCACACAAGTCACACAAGTTAAGATTGAACAAGACGGCTATAAGCATAACTCAGGCCTATGAGATACCTTGACAACATCTCTGGATATTGTTTCAAAACTGTGCTGGAAGTCAGTGTAGGTATTTTCATCCCTTTTTCAACCCAAATGTAATGATGAGCCACAGGCCATTGTTTTATTGGTCTAAAGCTTCTTACTTACTTACTTGCATTTGAGTAGGTCTTCTCATAAAGCTTCAGTATAACATAAAAGCCTTGAGTGAGAAATGACTGCAGGTTTCGATCTCAATCTGACTTCCCATAATCCCCTTGGATGGAGTTCATTTCACGGTGGGAGGGGCGGACGTCATTAATCTCCCCTATCAGCACTGATAATGGTATCTCCCGCTCCATGCTTATGGAAGTGGCAGCAGCTTATCTACAGAGTCTGTACCTCATGATCAGCTACACTTAGGCCAAACCAATCTAATTTGTCGGTTCTCGGATTTTTCATAAAAAATATGAAGCAACAGGGCGAAAAAAAATTAAAATAAAACTGTTAACAGGTCTAGGCATCCTATCATAGCCCAAAATGCTACTATAGAAGCCATGAAATCAACACAAAAAGCTAGGTTTACTTAATAAAACGATGAATTTTGAAGTTTTAATCAAACCTGCATTGACAGATGGAAAAACTGTAACAACTAGGCTACACTGGCTAGTTCCTGTACTCTACGGCCAACATGCCCTCAAGAAAATTGTACCAAAAGCCGAAAGAACCAAAGAAAAAAAAATTGGTACATAAATTCTTCAAAATCTTGACATATTTTGAATTAAACACTATTATCAAACTACACTCCGTCCTAACACGAGTACATGGATATGTTATTTCTTGCCAAACCAGGGAGGTTCAAAAGCTCCATGGTCACACCAATACCACCCAGGATGAAATATTGACAGAGTTTAGAGTCGATGCTGCCTGAGAGTTGCTCCATCAGACCTGACAGCTGATTACCATATCTCCAGGATCTGCCATCCTGTATTAACCTCCGTGGGAGCGAATCCCACAAGTAACGCTGACGAATAAATCACCAGCTTTCCTCTGATGATATCGCGCGGTGGGCGAGGGAAATCCCGGAGTATCAGGGCTGAGGAATGATGCTGAGGTACAAACCACTTTCACTGGACTCTGTCACTTTCACTGGACTCTGTCACTTTCACTGGACTCTGTCACTTTCACTGAAAATCTGCCACTTTTACCACATCCAGGCCAAACCTTGGATTGTTCAACATGATAACTCAAATTTCAAAAACTCCTTATAAGTTATATAATAAATTGGAACAAAATGCAAATCTTAAGAGTTCCATCAAGTGTACAAATGGGAATGTATCTTCATACAGTTCTGGTGTAACTTGTAGGTTAGTGAATAATTCCATATTCTAGAGATCCAGCTTCGTTTAACATACTACAATTGTAGTACCAAGAAAAATTTCCTTCCACAGTTTCAAATGCTTCTGTAAAAAGCAAGTTGAGTAAACAGCTGGGATTCAAACCCCGACCCCCAGTCCCAAAGCAGGTATGACGAACATCGCACCATAAACACACTAACACTATACCAGAGAGTATTCACTCCATCATCTTAACAACATTCACATTAATCAATAAAGTTTAATAGCTACTATTTCTGTTGTACATTAATCCTTGTCAAGCATGTATTTGCTGGCATCATAGATACATGTGTATGTACTAGTTATGTTGATTTATGTTGTGTTAAGTTGATACCTGTGCTCTGTATAAGATTACAGTGTGAATTTGTGTACAACAATGTAAGAAGTAGAATTATTAATGACGTTACAGTTTTAACTCAGCATGAACCTAACTCAGCTGTTCATCAGAGTTCCACCTGACTGGATCACGACTTCTTTACGTACTTACGGCAGGCGTCTGTTCAGTGGGACTAATGGGGGCCTGCATGGGGGGTCCCGACAACGCTCTACGCTAAATATTAAGCATTGACTAAGTACTACGCTACAGTAGCGATTACGCTTTATGATAAATTCCAAGAGGCTACAACGCATTACGTACAATTAAAACACGAATTTCGCTCTGCGCACAATGTGCCAATTACGCTCTACGTTGAATTAGAGTGGTCCGTCTACAATGTATGCTCTACGCGGAATTAAAACGGCCGATTGTGCTCTACGGAAAACGGCATGTGGGCCCCCACTAATCTGCAGGTGGATTATCCAGGATTACCTGTAGGTGGATTACCCAGGATTTTACACAAGCTGACGGAGATTAACGTTTTTACTGAAGTGATCTGGCTCAATCTGCCATCTGTTCACATCCGACTAACTTCATAACTAACAACATTTCTCAACTGCACCTGATCAGAATTTTCTCTTCCAGATAATACTATACAGTC